TAGAGGAACGCCTTCAATGTGACATGTTGTGTTTTGAGAAGTATTTTCTATAAAATTCCCTCTTTTTCCTTGTTGTTCTCACTTCAGGTCATGAAATGTGAGGCTCAAGGAGCAAAGTGTCTTTACTCTAAGTTCCTAACTTCAGCTAACCCACAAGATCCGGTATCTTGAGAGACCTCAGATTATATGTCCTGTCTTCCTCCTGCTCTTGATTCTATTTTTTCTTTTACTGTTAGTAAACCGGTCTCTTAAGATTAGCCATGAGAGCACTCTCCTTCATAGAACTTATTTCTGCATTGACCTGTGGTCTCTATTCTGCTCCTTGATTTAAATCAAATTCCAGTGTCTTAAGTATATAAGTTCCAACTGGACTCAAATTAGTCCCTAAATTAAAAAGAAGTTAGAAACAGAAAACAGCCCTCAAATTCTACTAATTTTGAAGGATTTTCTGAAGGAATGTGTTTTTTTAGTGAACAGATTCTTCCTTGGTAACTTATCATATATATGCCAATTGCCACATTAAGTCCTTTCTGCGAAGTGCTCTTTCTTCTAAAGACTCATAGGGAATAAGCTCACAGAGCTTAATAAATAATCATTCTTTGAATAAAGTTATTCAATCTAAAATGCTAGGTTATGATTCTTTAAGCATTTATGCACATATGCAAAGAGAGCTTAGTCAATGTGTTTCCATTTCAGAAACAAGTTGTTTCTAATAGCCAATACAAAAGAATAAGAGTGAAAAATTCTCTGTAATGGCTCAATTTCCAGACTGTTTTATAATAGTTTACTTTTTCCAAAGCTTGCTCAAGAATAAACTGTCTGATACAATAAGAAGATGGCCTTCCCAAAGGTTGTCTGAGATTTAAATATGGAAGCAGTAACTGTTTTCTAGGAAATCTCTTAACCCACATTCATAATATGCCAGCATTCTGATCAATAATAGGAAAATTATAGAATATATCTCAGTGTTCTCTTCGTCCAACATCATCATTGGAAAATTAAGAAACACAGGTCCAGGGGGAATAAAGTCACCTACTCAAAATAACAGATTTAATGAAAGAAATAAAATTAAAAGTGAAGTCTTATCAGCCTGTAACATTTTGAGGTTAAAAGCAGATAATTGCTGAAACTATTGTGAATGAACATATTAATTTATTAAATAAGTATTATTGAGGGTTTAATGTGCTAGGTCCTGAGAATACAAACTCATGCTTGATCAACAGAGTATAATGGAAATAGTATTATATTGTTTCATGACCTAGCCCAAAAGGACCAGCAGCTTCTGCTTTGCCCTCTTGGAGCCCTGACCAAGAATAAAAGAAGTTCTACTATCCTGACACCTCCATGCTGTAAGAAGTTCAAGGCACAGGGCCACTGCATTGTAATTCTCTTTAGTAGTCCCAGCTCAGCTCTCAGGCAATAACCAGATCAACCGATGTGCATGCGTGTAATCATCTTTGAAGACCAGTCCATCTGATGCTTCATATGACTCCACTTCCAGCCATTATATGCAACTGCATGATTCCCAAGTGAGAACCACCCAGACAATCCTAATCACCTCACAGAACCATGAGAAGTAATAACAAACTGTTTTATACCACTAACCTTGGGATAGTTTTTTTGTACCAATATGAAATCAGAAGAGTAGATAATGGAGAAATCATCAGTAAAGTTTGAAGGGGAGTGTAATGATAAATTCATATTCATAACTGATCATTTTGAATAGGTAGGGCCATAGAGTCAGTAGCAGAAGATAAACATCCTGTCTTCTGCTCCCACCATATATTCAAGTTTATCTGAAATTTGAGGACTACTGGACAAAATTGAGTGAAGTTCCTCCTCCTGTGTACAAGTGGCATTATGGAGATTCAAAATGGTCCACTAGGAGGAAGGGAGAAAGGGCCAAGCCCTTGACTATTAAAGTACCAGTTTCGAATTCTGATAGCCAGCTATTAAGATAGCCCCCAGGCAAACCTCCTGCATTCACGGTTGGGCAAAATCATCTGAAAACACAGTACACTGTGGAGTATCAGCTGTTTACTTTCGAGATGGTATTGCCACCAGGGCAGTGCTTGCTGCGTATGCTGAGGCATCATGAGAGAGGACCGTACTGCATATTGCTAGCCCAGTAAAAGATCAATATTCAAAATCTGAAATGAGGTTTCTAGGAAATGCATATCACTTTCCCACCATAATACGGTAGAAAAATTGTAAGTAGAACTATCATAAATCAGAGACCATCTGTGTAGGGAAAAGTAACCTCTTCAAGGTATTGAATCCATCTCTCCAAAACATGATATATTTCTTCATATATTAAATCCTTCATTAAAGTTTAAAAAGTTTTATGTGGTCTTGACTATTTTTGTTGGATATATTTCCAGATCCTTCGTATTTTTCTTACTATTAAAAACAGTATATTTCTTAAAAATACCTTTTCTAACTCTATTGTTGGAATATAAACATTCATTTGAGATTTATATGTTGATCTCACATTCTTCTTGTTTACTAAACTTATCCATTAATTCCAATAATTAATTTGAAGAGTCTCTTGGGTTTTCTATGGAGACAGCGTGTCATATGCAAGTAGTGACAATTTAATTTACTCTTTCCCTGTTTAAATTTTTTTTTTCTCTTCTAAGTGTACTTTCTATCGCACAGTATTGTTAAATAGAATCAATGAGGGTGGTACATTTGTACATTTCTGATTTTTCAAGGAAGTCTTTTCAGTATTTTACTTTTTAGTCTCTATAGATTTCTTTACTGTGTTAAAGCTATTCCTGTCTCTTGTTTCTAAGACTTCTTATCAGTTACTAATAGGTTTTGAATTTCACTTAATGATTTTGTTCTTTTAAAATGACTGTACTTTTTTCTCTCTTAATTTCTGAACTTGGAAATTGCATTAATAGTTCATCATAATAAACTGTCATTACATTTCCAAGATTAACTCTTCTTTCTCTTCATTTATTATATACAACAATGAATATTCAATTTGTTTTGTAAAGTTTTGTTCAGGAACTTTGCATCTTTGTTCTTAAGTCAGATTGTCCTTCACATTTCTGTCTCACAATGGCCCTGGATTTTTCTTTTTCTCAAAATTTTCCCCCAATATTTTAGATAAAAACCCAAAGACAATAGTGTTATGATTCATTATGTACCTGCCACCAAGCAACAACTATCATGGCCTCAAGGCCTCTCTTGTTTTCTCTCTCTCTCTCTTTCTTTATCTCTATCATGGTAGATTATTTTGAAGTAAATATTGAATAACCGTTTCATCTGTAAGTATTGTGCTATGTATCTTAAATGATAAGGATATTTCAAATAATATTATTTCAATATTATAATTACATCTGAACATGATATAGTCCCTTAAAATTATCAAATGCTCACTTTTACCCAATTGTTTTATATTTTTTATTTAATTTGTTCAAATCAAGATCCAAACATGGTTCACACATTTTATTTGATTAATATATTTTTCACATGTTAAGAGTGATATGTTGTTTTATTTCCTTAAATTCACTTGCTGGGGAAATGTAGTTATTTGTCCTGTACAATTTCCCACCTTCTAAATTTTGCTAATGGTATTCCTATGTTGTAATATAATACTGTCTCCATGTCCTATATTTTCTGGAAATTGCCAGCTAGATGTTAACCAGAGGTCTCAAACTGTTTTGATCTCAGGACACTTTTACACCCTTAAAAAATATTGAGGATGCTCGAAAAAAAAATTTTGTTCATGTGAGCTATTGATATTTATAATAATACATATTAAAAGAGAAAAGTTAAAAATATTCATTTACTAACTCACTTTGATCTTTTCTGAAAACACGTTAACAAACTACCAATATGTCAATAAGTAAAGTTTGTCTTGGTTTATTTTTCAAGTAAAAATGGTGTTCCATGAAATAGTGAATTAAAACTCAGTATTACAAATTATTTCCCTCAAGACAACCATTATACTTTAGCATGTCAGCTTTCCATTTAGTCATACAGAATATTCTCTCTAGATGTATTCAAGGGTTGAGATTTACTGAAGCCAATTCACTACTCTGATTCATCAAGTTCAAGAGCATTTTCAAGTAAAAATGCTTGTATTTTGTTTCTTGCAAGTACGTGGATATGAGCAATACAATTTGGTGCCACTGCCTTGATTAATGTTAAAGCACCAGAACTTCTATCCACCATTTCTTTTGCCTCATCAGTGCAAATGTCAACATAGCAAAAATGACAAACAACACTTTAGTGTAACTATGACAATTATAATTGCACAGCCACTCCGAACAGGCCCTGAAGATCCCCATTCGTGTGTAGATCACAGTCTAAGAATGCTACTCTGAGGTATCAAACTGTCACTTCAGAAATACAATAAACCAATGAACTATCTCTTGGTCTTCTCACACAAAGGTAGCTGGGAGGCAAATATATTTAACTGCTGTTCCATAAGACCCTGACTTGCCTAATGACTCATAAGATTATTTCAAGCTTCTTTTACATCTTGCTGCAAAGTTGAAGTAGCAACTCTGAACCAGTGCTGCTGCTTCTGGTTTCTATTCTTTCTTTATTTCGACTAATACATTGTCTTTGCCAACACATATAATTTTAATGCCCACCCAATTTTTGTTTATTAATTTATTTTAAATGTTACTAGATAAGGTATAAAGAAATTCATATGTATGCCTATAGAAATGAGTTCCTGGCAGGTTGATCAAAAGCAAACTTTTGACATTTCTCATAACTATGTAATATCATAATATTTTCTAAACTATGTAATACCAGACTCACAAGGCTGCCTTTATTCCCTTAAGTTTCTCAGAAGAAGATATCTGGAAGAGGGTGGGAAAAGTGCAAACTTCAACTGTTTGTGGGGAAAGTGCTGGTCTGCTACAGAGAAAAAGGCAATTCCCAGCCTTTGCCAGGAGGAGTCTCCTCCCCTTGGCATTATCTTTTGAACCAATGCCAAGCCCTCCCCATGACCCCTGTCCCGCCTACATATTGCCGTTATTCACTCCAATGACCATCCCTGAGATCCTCTTATAAAAAAACCCAGTCTTTCCTGACCAGACAAACCATACCATATCCCACCAGAGAGGTAAAGGGGAGCTAAGAGAAGATGAGACCCAGGGAGGGGCTACTGCACACGATACAGGAGAATGCATGGGAGGGTCCCTTCCTCAGGGAGCACAAGAACTCTGAGACTCAGCAAGGCTGTCCTGGGAGGGCTCGGGGATGGGAGAGTACACAGATTCCAACTCATTCAGAACTGTAGAAGATGATGGATGTGACCAAGATCACTTTAGTCCTAGGGGACTAGACAAGGAAAAAGATATGAGGCCGTAGGGTATCTGTGTGTTCTCCCACTGACCACGCTTCCTTTAGGGACTCCTGACTACCTCCTCAAGTCACAGACACCATGTTGCCTCCCATGGCCCTGCCCAGCTTATCTTGGATGCTGCTTTCCTACTTCGTGCTCCTGTCTCACTTCAAGGTGAGATTGCTCTGCCTCTAGCACAGGGTTTCCTATGAATCCTTAGAGCCAAGAAGAGGAGGAAGGCTCCTGTATGCCACATGAGGTAATGGCATAGTGTCTAATGAACCTGCCTGCAGTTCCTGCATCATCACTCCTTCCTTCAGGTTAACTTGCAGTGGGAGGCTCCATGGGGGTCCACTAACAGTGGAATGAGATGACTTCCATTTAGTCAGTGGACTCCAATATAGACTGGTGGGAAAGTGTGGAGGGTCAGTAATGAGATGTGGGGAGGGACAATGACTGGAGGACCCAGTGTAGAGACAGCCCAGAGTGAGGAGAGTGTTGAAAGGTTGAATAAGGGGAAAGGGTAATAAGAGACTAGATGGTGCCCCATTTGCTAGGGCTATTTTGAGATAAAGAACTTCTGAAAACACAAGGGAAGACGAAGGGGTGTCAGGAATGTGGTCTTCCTCCCCAAGGGCAGGCCTAGATATTCCCCAAGGTCATCTTCCACCTCAACCCCCACTCTTCATTTTACCCTCTCCCTCTTCTTCCACCTCAGGTGAAGAACCCCAGAAGGAACTGCCCTCTGCGCGGATCCGCTGTCCCAAAGGCTCCAAGGCCTATGGCTCCCACTGCTATGCCTTGTTTTTGACACCAAAATCCTGGATGGATGCAGATGTGAGTGGTTAGATGTGGGATTGGAGGTGACAGGGGAAAATCCATGCAGGTCTCAGGGGGAGGAAGGTCTTCATTCAGGAGAGTTCATTGGGAATGAGGATGAACACGCTTATCTTTCACATAGTCCTCCTCCCACCTCCCTTTGTCCTGCTCTCCCCCAGCGGGTCTCAGGCTCCCTCTTATTCTCTTTGTCTCCCTCAAAGCTGACCTGCCAGAAACGGCCCTCTGGAAACCTGGTGTCTGTGCTCAGTGGGGCTGAGGGATCCTTCGTGTCCTCCCTGGTGAGGAGCATTAGTAACAGCTACTCATACGTCTGGATTGGGCTCCATGACCCCACACAGGTGTGAGTATATCCTCCCCTCTCTGTTACCTCTTAAGGTGCTATTGTTGCCCAGATCCACTTCCTGTCCCCTGTCCCTGCCAGGAAGTACTTCAGGGAGCACTGGAGCTCAGATTCTGGGAGACATTTGGAAGAATAGGAAGCCCACAAGGCAGCTGAAGATCTTAATTCTGTGGAGGTCCCTAGTCTTTAAATAAAATTAATCAGACTCTTGTAAAACTTTTACATATTTCTCACGTGAATCCTTACAAATCACTTAGCTGAGCTTAAGGGAGTCTGCATCTATTATTCTGAGGGAGTTCTCAATTAAGATAGGACCAATTTTTGCTCCCCCATACAGAATAGACATTATCTTTGAGGTTCACAGGCTAATCACAAATGCTACACCAATTATTCTTCTATAAGTAACATATTACCTTGAATGATTCCAAAGGTCTTGTGTTTATTGGCTGGGATTTTCCCATAGCAATGAGAAGTTAAGGAAGAGGTTCCAGTGCAGAGGACTCTAGGGCAGCATCTGGAAGAGCAGACCAAAATCCCTGATGCTGGGGAGGAATCAGGTGTTACAGCTCAGGGGCCTTGCAAAGAGAGCTGCAATGGGCCATTTTCTTCACCTGGCTGCCTCCTCTTCTTTATAGGGTTCAGAGCCTGATGGAGATGGATGGGAGTGGACTGGCACTGATGTGATGAATTACTTTGCATGGGAGAAAAATCCCTCCACCATCTTAAACTCTGGCCACTGTGGGAGCCTGTCAAGAAGCACAGGTGAGAAACAGAAGAGCTGCCTCTTCCCAGCACTTTCCGCTCCTCATCCCCAATTTCTAGGTCTGACCTTCAGGAAATCCTTTTCAGCTAGGAAATGCAATGTTGATGTGTCTTCTCCCATCTCCTCTCATCTCTGCTTTCTTTGAGTCTCATTCTCCTGGATTGAGAAACTGGTGAAGATGAGAAAGAAGCTTTAAATCCTAGGCTAAAACCTGGGATGCCTCTTCATTGGGTTCAGAAGTTCCCCCAGCCCCATGCCTTTTATATTCTGTCTCCCTAGGATTTCTGAAGTGGAAAGATTATAACTGTGATGCAAAGTTACCCTATGTCTGCAAGTTCAAGGACTAGGGCAGATGGGAAGTCAGCAGCCTGAGCTTGGTGTGCAGCTCATCATGCACATGAGACCAGTGTGAAGACTCACCCTGGAAGAGAATATTCTCCCCAAACTGCCTTACCTGACCACCTGGTCGTGATCCTCCTTCTTTTTCCTTCTTACTCACCTTCATTTCAGGCTCCTCTCTGTCTTCCATGTCCTGAGATCTCAGAGAATAATAATAAAAATGTTACTTTATACTTGTATGCTTTTGTTTCATTCTTATAGTAAGAGCCTTTGGAAGAGGAGGGCGAAGCTGGCGGACAAAACACTGAGTCTTGGCTTCTCTCAATTTCACCCAGGCCTAAGGGGAAATTACTATATGAATGTCCCCATCAGTGTATTTGTGATGAAGGTGTGGGCCCTGCTCAGGCAGGGTTTGTGTCAGGAAGAAATGAAGACAGTGCTTCTCCACACACTCACTGCCCACACATTGTCCTTGATGTTGTGACACAATCAGTCCTAGGGGAGTCTGACATTACTTAAAACAGAACTTCTCAAATAATTTTCTGTGAAGGATCTTTTTTTTTTTTTTTTTTCCATTAATTTGCAATCTGCGTTGCATGGCGACTTTTGTAAAATACAGTAAAAAATGAATTACTTAAACTTCTGGTTACAATGTTGACATAAAGAGCTTTGGAGGCTGCTACTCTTTTCTTTAAAACAAGAAAATCTGAATAAACTTAAAATCGACAACTTTCCTTTGGGCTAATGAGAGAACTGAGGTAGCAGGGCAAGTTGGTACCCCAATATCTGGAAAAGCACCCAAATATGGAGAGTTGTTTACATTTCTGCTTACCTGGAGCAAAAGCCTCTAGAGCTACAAGCTGTTAGGAACACTTAAATGGTGATTTTGAAAAACTGCTGGATGTTGAGTGCAGCTTCGCATTAAGAGTGAGAAACTCATGGACATTGCACTCCTAGGAAAGCCCTCACGCCTTCATGGATTTTACCTTCAGGAATCCCAACAGGTTCTCTTGGTGGAGTCACGAATAATTCTCTCGTGGCTTTGGCAAGAGGAGGAGAAAAGAAACCATTTCTAAATCAGCCCAGAGCATTCTGAATAACAAAGACCTACTTCCAGGTAAAAAGACCTAATGAGCGTCTTATCAGGCCTAAGCCGCAGTGCATTGAAGTCCACTCCATCTAGCCTTTCATCTTACCTAACAGAAAGAGAGTTAAGAAACATTTTTGAAAGTCATGACCCTGGGGCATAGACTCACACAAATACTGAGATATAATCATAAAATTATATGATACTTCCCCTTGCTCAGACACTACCACATCAATAGAGATGCAGTTTAATGACAATAGATTACAACTGAGGAACTGCAAGGTACACTACTTAAGAAAGAATTATTAGGAAATGACAAAGGCAATAGGAAAGACAAAAACAGGGACACGAGAGAAATTTTAAGCCTCTTGCACTTACAGCTCTAGCAAACATTAAACACAAACTAAATCCTAGTGAGATTAATGAAAAGTCTTATACTAAACGTCTTTCACTTCAGTTACTATTACTCAATACATCAAGTGAAGCTTTCAAGAGAAACTAAAAGTTTTGCTGAACAATAAGAAAAAACATGATCTGAAGAGATAAAGCAAACATCAAAACGAGACTCAAATATGGTACAGATTTTGGAACTATTAGGAAACTTAAAATAACTATGATTGATGTGATAAGGGCCATGATGAAGAGAATGGACCATGGGAAAGAAAAGATGCATAATCTATGCAGAAAAATAGACACTGTGTAAAAGAATCAAAAGACAATGCTATACATCAAAAGCAATATAATAAAAACAAAGGAATTTTTTTTTTTTTTTTGAGACGGAGTCTCAGTCTGTCGCCCAGGCTGGAGTGCAGTGGCACAATCTTGGCTCACTGCAACCTCCACCTCCTGAGGTCAAGCAATTTTCCTGCCTCAGCCTCCTGAGTCGCTGGGAGTACAGCCGCCTGTCACCACACCCAGCTAATTTTTGTATTTTCAGTAGAGACTAGGTTTCACCAGAGACCACAGGCCAGGCTGGTCTCGAACTCCTGATTTGCGGTGATTCACCCGCCTCAGCCTCCCAACCAGGATGTTTTTGAAGGGCTTATCTGTAGACTGGACCTGGCCAAGTAAAGAATCATTAAGCTTGAAAATAAGTCAACAGAAACTTCCCAAACTAAAATGCAAAGAGAAAATAGAGTGAATAAGTAGAACAGAATATCCAAGAACTGTGGGATAATTTTTAAACTCTAATATATATATATATAATTGCAATATAAGAAGAAGAAGAAAAAAAGAAGCAAAAGAAAAATTTTAAGTAATAATGATCATGCATTTTCCAAAACTAATGACAGACACCAAACCCTGGATCCAAGAAGCTCAGAGAACAGCAAGTAGAATAAATACCAAAAACCAATCCTAGGCATATCATATTCAATTTTCAGTAAACCAAAGACTAAGAGAAAATCTTGAAAGAATCCAGAGAGTTTGGGGGACAGTTTACGATAGAGGATCAAGGACAAGAATTAGAACAGATTTCTCATCAGAAACCATTAGTGGAATAGACTACTTAACGAATTAGAAGGCATAACAAACCAAACTAGAATTTTATAGCCAGCAAAATTATCCTTCAAAAGTGAATGAGAAATAAAAGACTTTCTCTGACAAACAAAAAATGGAATTTATTTTCAGCAGAACTGCTTTGGAAGAAATATTGAAATAAGTTTTTTGTTTTTTTTTTTTTTTGGAAAAGGGAAATGATATAGGTCTGAAACTCAGATCTACTTAAAGAAGAGTGTTAAAGGCATAAAAAAGTTAAATGAAATATTTTGTTTACCTCATTTTTCATCAAGCTAATAGATAACCATTGGCTTAAAGGAAATATAGTAACTGTTTCCTGTGAGTGCAGCACATGAACAACTGAGATGAATGATAGCAACGTCATAAAGGATGAGAGGGAGAAATTTGGAGTGCTTTGTTCTAAGTTTCTGCACTACAAGTGAAGCACTATATATTATTTGACAGTGGACTTGCATTAGTTGTAAATGTATATTGTGAACTCTATAGTAACTGCTATAAAAATTTAAGATAAAATACAATTAAGATATAAGAGAGTGAATAAAATAGAATAATATAAATTGTTCAATTAAAACCAGTGAATGCGTAAAAAGGGAAGAAAAAAACTGAACAGAGTAAGTGATCTTATAGGAAACAGTTATAAACATGATAAATGCTATTCCAACTATATCAATAATCACTTTAAATCTGGGTGATCTAAATGTGTCAATAGAAAGAAAGAGATTGTCAGAGGGATTTTTTTAAGAAAGACCCTACTGTACGTTGTCTATCATAAAACCACTTGCAACACACATCCTCAGGTATGATCAAAGTAAAGGGATGGAGGAAGATATACTATGCCAACATTAATCAAAAGAAACTTGAGTAGTATGTTAACTTCCAACAAATCAGATTTCAGAAAAGTATATAAATATTATTTGGAATCAAGAGGGGCATTACAAAATGATAAAAGGGGTCAATTCTCCAAAAGCACCTAACAATGTTTGACATGTATGTACCTAACAAGAGAACAAGATGCATGAGACAATTACTTATACAATTACAAGGAGAACTAGAGAAATCTTTTTTTTGTATTCAGAGACTTCAACAGTTCTCTTTTTGTAACTAATAGAACAAGTAAGCAGAAAATTAGGAACAGGGTTGACCGGAATAGCATTATCATTCAACTTGTTCTAATTGACACTTAAAGAATACTGCATCCAACAGCATAATACACATTTTTCTCACACTCACATGGAGCATCTACCTAAATAGACCACATTCCCAGGCATGAATTACACCTTAACAAATTTAAAAGTATAGAAATCATAGAAAGTATGCTGTCAGATCACAGTGGAATTAAACTGGATATCAAAAACAGGAACATAGATGGGAGATTCCAAAATACTTGGAGTTAAAACAACACATTTCTAAATAATACATGGAAAAATAGAAGTCACAGAGAAATTTTTTAAAAATAGTTTTTTTTAAAGTATTTAACTATTTAACTAGCTAAATAGTTATTTAAACTATTTCTATTTTTTAAAATAGAAATTTAAAAAAGAACTAAATAAAAATGAAAATACAACTTATTAAAATTTGTGGTATACAATGAAAGCAGTGCTTAGAAGAAAATATACAATATTAGTTGAATATACTAGAAAAGAAAAAATGATCTAAAACAAATAATCCAGGTATACTCTTTAGGAAGCTAGAGAAATAAAGGTTATTTAATTGTGAAGCAAGCAGAAGAAGAAATATAATAATAGAATAGAAACCAATGAATTTAAAAAGAGAAAAACAATGGAAAAAATAATAAAATAAAAAAACTGATTTAAAAGATCAATAAAATTTAGGCATCTATAGGCAGACTAACCATGAATAAAATAAGGTGGTGCAATTTAGTAATGTCAGAAATGAAAAAGAGATCAAGGGAGGCTGAAAAATGGCCTCCCCCCAAAGACCTTCTTCCTGGAATTTATGAATGTGTTACCTTAAATGGCAAAATGGACTTTGCAGATGTGATTGCATAAGAATCTAAGATAGGGTGATTATTCTGGATGCATGAGTACAATCACAAGGTCTTTATGAGAGGGAGGCAGAAAGTCAGAGGGGAGACAAAAGATTATGCAGCTTTATGTGAAGATGGCTGAAAGGGCCACATGCAGCCTCTAAAACCCGGAATAGGCAAGAATGGATTTTCTTCTCGTGCCTCCAGAAGGAAACAGTCATGCCAACATCTTGATTTTAGACCTGTAAATGTCTTAACCACTTCTGTTCTTCAGGATTGAAAGAAAATAAATCTATGCTGTTTAAGCAGCTGTATTTCAGGGAATTTGCTATAGTAGCAATAGGAACCTAATACAGAGGTCATCACTACTGAATCCACTGTGAAAAAAAGATAGTAGGTTGCCTGTTCACTCTGATGATAGTTTCTTTTGCTGTGCAGAAGCTCTTTTGTTTAATTAGATCCCATTTGTCAAATGTAACCTATAGAATGGGAGAAAATTCTTGCAATCTATCCATCTGACCAAGGGCTAATATCCAGAATCTACAAAGAACTTAAATAAATTTACAAGAAAAAACAAACAACCCCATCAAAAAGTGAGCAAACGATATGAACAGACACTTCTGAAAAGAAGACATTTAT